ATCTGTGAGAGGTACAGTATTCTTTTTTTGTTGCAAATTCTGCTGTGTTACTCTCAAAAATGTGAGGACAAAGTGATAAGAATGCTTGCCAGAAGTGTCCTTGTTATAAAAGCCAACCCCCAAGAAACAGTCAGATGACAATGAACCACAGCCATCCACTTTTGGATTAACTATTTTTCACCCTAACCCTGCAATCACAACTGCACTTGAAGGTGATGATGATGGTGATGACCCACAGACCTGCATTAACAACAGAGCAACCTCAAAACCTACTCTCCCATCAAGTCATCTTTTCAAGATAAGGTACTAAATTTACTTTTATTTATTATTAGATATGAATTAAACATTTCTTCAAACTGTGCTATCCTTTGTGTTAGGCTTTTGAGTGATTTTTTTGGTGGTCTGCCCCCAGCCCCATTTTTCCCATAGGCTCCATTATTTTGATAGTGCGGGAGTGCAACTATCACATTACAGCAGAACCGCCGTAGAATTATGGGTTCTTCTGCCTACATTCAAGAAGGCATAAGGGGCCTCTTCAGCCTCTCATCTGAATGAGGACACATCCAACAGTGCGCCACTACTTCAGTACCACATTGAGAGTATAAACGTTGATGTTCTGAGCTCAAGTTCTGAAGGGAACCTGACCCTACTGGCTTAGACACGAAAGTTCTATTGATCCAACAGTGGCTTACACTAATCCTAAAATAATTCACATTATAGGACCTTTCATATTCACCAGCTGAACATAGCAATTAGTAGAATTGTCAAACTCACCTTCCATCACATTGCAGATGATCAATAATAGACTAATGGATTGCAATTGACAGGACTTTTTTTTTGTGGGACAGGATATGCTGGGGCAATCTTCCACATGGTTGGGCAGATGCCAGTTTAGTTAGTGGTTAGGCCACATTTGGAATACTACGTTCAGTTCTGGTCTTCCTGCTAGAAGAAAGATGTTGTTAAACTTGAAGGTTTCAAATAAATTGCAAGGATGTTGCCTAGTTTGGAGGTTTTGAACTATAGGGAGAGGCTGAATAAGCTGGAGCTATTTTCCCTGGAGCGTCAGAGGCTGAAGAGTGACCTTTTAGAGGATTTGTAAAATAATGAGCGGCATGGTTGATTTGCAAAGGCCTTTTTCTCAGGGTTGAGGAGTACAAAACTAGAGGGCATGGGTTTAATGTGAGGGGCAAAAGATTTAAAACGGACCTAAGCAGCAACTTTTTCATGCAGAGCTGGAAGTGTATGGAACGAATGCCAGAGGAAGTGGTAGAGGCTGGAACAATTACAACATTTAAAATGCATCTGGATGGGTATATGAAAGGAAGAGTTTAGAGGGGTGTGGGCCAAATGCTGGCAACTGGGACTAGATTAATTTAGGATATCTGGTTGACGTGGACCAGTTGTACGAGCTTGTTTCCATGCTGTACATCTCTGAATCTATGCCAGTGTTGTAGCTGTAATGGAACAGCTCAGCTAGGAGTGCAGATTCCTTTATTTGGGAGATCTTACAGAGTGATAGAGTCATAGAGTCATGCAACATGGAAAAGGACCCTTCTATCCAACCAGTCCATACTGAACATTATCCCAAACTAAACTAATCCCACCTACCTGCTCCTGGCCCATATCCCTCCAAACCTTTCCTTTTCATCTTCTACAAAAAAGTCCTACCAGGATCTGACACTATCATATATCAGTTTCCACTTGTTTGCTAGTCCCACACCCTATGATGCACATCTTCTACTTAATGGTCTGATGGTAATGGGAGGCATTGTGAGATCTGAACCCGCAGATTCAAAGCAGCAAATGCAGTCTTAGTGTACTGTATAGGGTGGGCCGAAGGACTAAAAGGCAATGATGATATTCGACAGCTGCATGGGAAAATAGATTGTACAGGATGGGAAAACAGGATAGGAAAGTTTAGAATGATACTTGACAAGTTGCATGACCTTGAATGAGTCCTGTGAACATTCCTTTTCAAGCAAAAGATGACACCTGCAGCTTGTTTTCCTGTGTTTTCCGTACCAGCCAGCAGTTTTGGCTTCTGTGTCCGCTTTCTTTGTGCTGGCTGTTTGTTACACTGTATAAGAAAGAGTTTCATTCCAAGGCTGGACTTCTGGCTGGACCAAATCATGAACAGTGCCAGGAAATAAGCTCAGCCTCCAGACCAGCCTTCAATCGAGGGGATCCTGATGGCCAGAAGGGCGTGAGGCTTTTGAATTTTTTCCTTTTTTTCATTCTTTTTATGCCTTAATAAATGTGCCTTTCTTTTTCATCTTTTATTGTTATTCAAAAAATGTTCATATTTATGCAAATTGCTGTTGTTGAGCTTTCTATTAATTATATTTACCCGAATCTGAAAAGAACCGGTTGGATACATGCAGTGATCCAAGACAAATACTTTGATGATTTTACCTTCTATTAATTCTGTCTGCTCTGAAAGAAAATATGTTCCAATTATAACCTGTATAGTATAATCCTTTTTTTTTAAAGGTAATTCACTGGATGTGCACTAAAACATAATTTCAGAGTCACTGCCTAGACCAGCATCTATAGTTGCCTCAGAGGGCAGTTAACCATGTTGCTGTAAGTCTGGAGTTACACGTATATCAGACTGACAGATTTCCTTCCCCAAAGGCTATTAATGAACTAAGTTGGTTTTTTACAGTAGTTTGTACTGCAGAATTGTGTCTAAATTCAAATTTCACCCTTTTCCATGGTATGATTCAAGCCCATAGGCCGGGGACTTTAACGTGGGATGCTCATTAACAAGGCAAGTGACATTAGCACAACGCTACTGCCTCCCTCCATCTGTATCAGCCTGTCAGTAAATGAATCTTCTCTACCAGTTAATTTGGAAGCGTCCTGTTGGCCCCTGCTTATTGTGTGAAAATATTATTCTCACATCACAGGAAAGTAGACATTCCAAGGCTTTAATGCATCTGTTGATTTTTTTTTTGTTCGGCCAGGGTCCCTGTGAGGGTTCCATAGAGCACAGAAGTCATGGTATGGAGTTACCTGGGAGAACATCACCTCGGCAACAACAAAAAGAATTCATCATCTCTCTGGACAGACCCTGCAAATGAACTTTCCAGAAACAAGCAATGTTTAAGTAGTAGCTATCAGCCACAGCTCACTGCTAACATTTCTGACTTTTAATCAAAGTCACCGAACAAAGGGGCAGCACTACAAAAGCTTGTGATTTCAAATAAGTCTGTTGGACTATAACCTGGTGTTGTCTGACATCTGACTTTTTGTCCGCCCCAGTCCAACACTTGCACCTCCATGTAATGACTTTTAATGAGATTATCATGAAATGAAAACAACAAATGCTGGAGATCACAGCAGGTCAGACAGCATCCATGGACAGAGAGCAAGTTAAAGTTAAGGATCTAGATGATGCTTCATCAGAGCTAAATTAAAGTGTGGAGGCGACAGTATTTATGCTATAGTTGGGGGAGGGGTAAGGAGGGAGGGTGTGGCGGTGATGGGGTGTAGAGTTCTGGTGGAAAAAAAGTTGGTAGTTCAGATTTGCTATTGGAATGCGAGAATGGCAAAACAATGGTGTGTCTATCTGCCAGACTTGAAAAAGAAGACAGTTCCACCAGGGTATGGGGAGGGGAAAAGAGGACATGATGACAGAGAATGTAACAAGTAAAGCTAAAAAAAAGGGAAGAAATGGGAGAATATAACAAGTAAAGCTAAAGGAAAAGGAAGAAGTGGGAGTTGGTTCACAATTTAAAGGTGTTGAACTCAATATGAAGTACAGAAGGCTGTAAAGTGCCTAGTCTGAAGATGTTCCTCCAGTTTGCACTGTGATTCACTGGGACACTGCAGCATGCTGAGGGCAGACAAATGGGCATGTGAGCAGGACGCTGTGTTAAAATGGGAAGATCGTGGTCATGCTTGCCCACAGACCAGAGGTGTTCTGCAGAGCAGTCACTCAGTCTGTGTTTGGTTTCTCCAATGTCGAGTAGGCCACATTTAGTGCAGCAAATATAATACACAAGTTTGGAGGAGGTAGAGGTGAAATGCTGCTTCACCTGGAAAGATTGTTTAGGCCATTAAATGGTGAGCAGAGAGGAGGTGAACAGGCAGGCATTGCACCTTCTGCAGTTACATGGGAAGGTGTCGTTGGAAGGAGTGTGATGTTGGTGGTCGTGAAATGGACTAGCGTGTCCTGGAGGGAATGATCCCTGCAAAATTCAAACAGGGGAAATGAGGGGAAGATGTGTTTCTTGGTGGCATTCTGCTGGAGTTGTCTGAAATGGTGGAGAATGATCCTTTTAATGTGGCAGCTGGTGGGATGAAAAAAGAGGACAAGGAGGCTCCTAACATGTTTTTGTGAGTCATGGGAAGGGGCAAAGGTGGAAGCACAGGTGATAGGTCAGATGCAGTTGAGGGGTCTGTCAAAAACAGTGAGCAGGAAAGGTCATAGAAGAAGCAAGCCATGTCAGCTCTTTGGGAAGGAGGCATCATCAGAACAGATGTGATGTAGGCAAAGGCACTGGGAGAATGGGATGGATCCGTGCAGGAGGTTGGGTGGGAAGATCTGTAGTGAAAGTAGCTATGGGAGTCAGTGGATTTGTAATGGACGGCAGTGGTCAATTTATTCCCCAAAATGGAGACAGCGAGGTCAAGGAAAAGAAGTGTCAGAAATGGATGATGTGAAAGTTATAGAGGGGTGGAAATTGGAAGCAAAATGAAAAAAAAATTTTCAAGGGCCTGGCGGGAGCATGAACCGCACCCAAGCAGTAGTCGACCTACTGAAGAAAGAGTTGTGGGAGGAGTCAAGTGTAGGATAAGAACAAGGATTGTTCCACATACACCATAAAGAGACAGGCATAACTGGAACCCATGCCGGTACCCATCATGAAATGAAGTTAAATTCTAGATATGCATACAGGTGATCAAGACAGACATCCCATTGTAGAGACCCGTAATTTGGATGAAACATTATATGAACGTTAGATCAGCCTTCGGAGTATAAGTAAAGTATTTAGTGCCAGTATTCGGACAAGAGCAGGAGAAATCAATCCAGTTTGAAATTAATATTTCCATTTGAAAAAAAAACTATTGGCCAATCAGTTAATATTGTTTTTGGGTGCTTGCTGAGCTCAAATTTCCTGATAGGTTTCTTGACGTTACAGCAGGTACATCTTGGATTTTAAAAAAGTTTTGGGAGGTCCTCATGTTTGCCAAGCTGTTGATATCGGCGGCCTGTTTGGAGCATAACGCATGGAAATTCCGAAACCCACCCCACGCACCTCCTCCTACTTATTCCCTGCCTAACCGGTCCCTCCACTGGCAACCACGCCACCACCACCCGCACCCACGCCCCCCGCCCCCCCCCCCCCCCCCCGCGCCCCGCAAATTAACATGTGATTGATGTCCACCTTTCGTCCCTGAGCACTCATATTCTCATTTGCTTGTCCCTTGTGGTTATTCGAATTTCTTCCTTTCAGACGCAATTATCAAAAGGACATAGACTGGTAGAGAACAATAATTCTCGAAACGTTGATAAAATATGGAGCTGGAGGAGCCCAGCAGGTCAGACAGCATCGGAGGAGCAGGAAAGTCGACGGTTCGGGTCCAGACCCTTCATCGGGATCCCGTCTGACCTTCTGTGCTCCTCCAGCTACACATTTTATCGACTCTGACTTCCAGCATCTGCAGTCCTTTCTATCTCCTAGTTGCTGAAAACCATACTGCGAAGTCTGAACCAGGGATGCCCACCTTGGAGAAGTTTTCCTCCTCCCTTCTCCAAACGATTGTAGTGAATGGTTTCGGACATTGAAAATATCCCGCAGCTCACTATCAACGAAAGTGAAATCGGTGTGAATCAGGAAGTGTTGAGTGTGAACATGGCTTCCAGACAGCAGATCCTGGGAATGACCGAGGAGGCAATTTGTCCCATTTGTCTAGATTTCTTCACTGATCCGGTTTCGCTGCAGTGTGGACACAACTTCTGTCGCTCCTGCATTCCCCACAGTTTGGAAAAGGAGGGTATAAACTTCTGCCCGCAGTGTAGACAGGAGTTTCCGGAAGTAAACCTCAGTGTAAACTGGGCCTTAGTGAATCTGTCAGAGAAAGCACAAAAGTTAAAGCTGAAACCGCAAAAGAAGGGAAGCAAACCTCTCTGTGATGAACATCACGAAGAACTGAAATTGTTTTGCCAAACTGAAAAGAAATTGGTCTGTTACACTTGCAGAGATTCCCGGGAACACAGACAGCACAGCTTTCAGCCCATTAATGAAGCTGTTGAAATCTATGAAGTAAGTAAATATTAATTTTATCACCAGATTATTTGATCAGGTTTTCACGGTGTAACATGTTTACTCATGACTTATTCTCCAATCACAGGATCAACTGAAAACGTCCTTAGACCTTCTCGAAAAGCAGAAATCGCTGACTAGGAAAGCTGAGCAGAAACAGAAACAAAATATTTCTGATGTAAAGGTAAGGTGTTCTGTGCTGATTGTTTGGAATTTCGATCAGTCTCTTCCTTTAGTAGCGGGACTTAGTTATGTTTTGAATTTTGTTTGCTAGGATCAGTCAAGCAGTCTGCAGACCTACATCAATTCCGAGTTCACTGAAATGCACAACTTTCTCACTGCAAAAGAGCAGCATTTACTCAGCGAGCTTAAATATCGAGAGAGAATAATTCTGCAGCCAATGGAAAAAAATCTTCGAAAAATTGAAGAGAATTTAAAGATAATACTGGAGAAGATCGCTAATATTCAGCATGAGTTGACGAAAAATGATGGACTGAGTATTCTGAAGGTAAGAGGATCTATTGCGAGGTAAATCTGTTAGTCTCTACACAACCATGAAGTTTAGTTTTCTACGGAACTTTGAAATAATACAGATTAGTGGAACTACTTGTCTATTCAGGGTAGTCCTGCTATGATCATGGAACAACAGCTCGCAGTGCAGATTTCCTAGTATTGCCAAATGTTTACACCGAATTTACTAAAGTAAATAATGAGACAATGAACAAAGAATTTAAGAAGAACCTACGTGCAAGAAGAGTGTAATTGGGAGGCAGAGGAAAGAAATTACGCAATTTGACACCAGCAGTTGTAGGCATTTTTATTTCCTTTATTCATTCACGGGACGAGGGCGTTACTAACTAGGCAGCATTTTTGCCCATCCCAGTTAAGAGTGAACCACATCGCTGTGGGTCTGGATTCACAGATAGGCCAAACCAGTTAAGGATGGCAGTTTCCTTCCCTAAAGGGAACCAGATGGGTTTTTCCCCTGACAATCAACACTGGATTCATAGTCATCATTAGATTCTTAATTCTAGATATTTATTGACTTCAAATTCTACCATCTGCTGCGGCGGGATTCGAACCCAGGTACCCAGGATATTATTTGGGTTTCTGGGTTAATAATCCAGCGATAAAACCACTACGCCATCGCCTCCTCTAGCTATCGGGGGCAAGGCATGAAAAAAGGAATGTGCAAAAGGCGAGAATGGCAACAGTGCAGAAATCCCGCGTATTTCTTTCTTGGGATGGAGGAGGACTTGGAAACAAGAATGCCGCTTTTAAAACGGAAGTGTTGCTTGACAAGGAGCTAATGCAGCTCAGTGCGTATAAATCACGGAAGAACGGGAACCAGTGCACTGGAGTTCCGGATTTGCTTAAATGGTACATGTGATAGAAGATAAGAGTGGAGTTTAAACAAATGTTTGAATGTAATGCATGCTCGGACTAGTGTCTCAAAAAAAACCCCTCTACAAGTCACACATCAAGCTGACTTGAATCCTGCAATGTCGCTGGGTCGAGTCCCAGGACTGCAGCAAAGGAGTCTTTTCGCCACCTACTGGACAGTAATTAAGGATGAATAATAAATGCGGACCTTTCCAGCGACGTTCATAACCCATGCAATCATGTTTCAAAATGCTGACAATAAGGCAAAGGCTGAGCTGGGCTAATTTGAGTGTGTGGATACAACTGGTCTTGGTGACAGTGCATGCTTCAGATCAGAACTTCAACACAGGGTCAAACGGGATGCCAAAGTAGCCAACAGAGAATCTGGTTCAGTGTCATACAGTGAACATAGAGCGGTTAGGATTTAGAGCCAGAGAGTCATAGATATGTACAGCATGGAAACAGACTTTTCCCCAACTAATCCATGCTGAACAGATATCCTAAATAAATCTAGTCTCTTGAGGTTGGTTGGCTCGCCGAGCTAGTTTGTTGTTTTGCAAACGTGTTGTTACCATGCTTGGTAACATCCTCAGTGCAACCTCCGATGAAGCGTCGGTGTGTTTTCCCGCCTGGTTTTTAAACTCTGGGGTCCGTTGAGATGGGTTGCCTCACTTCCGGTTTTTCTTCGTAGTGGAATGTATATGGGGTCGAGTTCAATGTGTTTATTAATAGCATGCTTCGTGGAGTGCCATGCTTCCAGGAATTCTCGTGCTTGTCTCTGCCTAGCCTGTCCCAGGATCTTGGTGTTGTCCCACTCGAAGTCGTGGTTCTCCTTGTCCATGTGGATTGAGATGAATGAGTAAACAAACCAGTTCGGCGAACCAACCAACCTCAACACCCACAATCCGAGCTACAGATCTATTCCAAAACCTTAGAAATCTAGTCCCATTTACTAGCATTTTGCCTATATCCCTCTAACCCGTCCTCTTCATGTACCCATTCAGATGCCTTTTAAATGTTGTAATTGTACCAGCCTCCACCACTTCCTCTGGCAGCTCCTTCCATACACGCACCCCACTCTGTGTGAAACAGTTACCCTTAGGTCCCTTTTAAATCTCTCCCGCTCACCATAAATCCATGTCCTCTACTTTTGGACTCACACCGCCACCCCCCCCCCCCCCCCCACCCAATCCCAGGGAAAAGGCCTTGTCTATTTAGCCTATCCATGCCCCTCATGATTTTATGAACCTCTATAAGGTCACCCTCAGCCTCCGACAGTCCAAGGAAAATAGCCTAGTTTATTCAGGCTCTCCCTATAGGTCAATCCCTTCAACCCGGGCAACATCCCAAACCCTTTCAAGTTTCACAACATCCTTCCTATAGCCGGGAGACCAGATTGCACGCAGTGTTCCAAAACTGACCTAACCAATGTCCTATACAGCCACAACGTGACATCCAAACTCCTATACTCAATGCACTGACCAATAAAGGCAAGCATGCCAAACGCCTTCTTTACTGTCCGATCTACCTGCGATTTGGTGCTAGTGACCATATTTTGTGAGGAGGGTGAAACAAATTGGGATCAATGATCTCAATATTAATTAGATAATCCTGCTCAATACTAGATGTATGGCAATTTACAGATTATAGTGGTCCAGGGAGACCTTGGCAAAGCTGATTCTGTAGTTATGCGTAAAGTACCTGACTTTGTGTTTTTTTAAAAGATATGGTTGAAAGGAAAGCACTTAAAAGAAACGTTCATCCACTATGCCCAGATTGCACATCACATATTTCCTCACCTTGAATCTTTCGATTCAATTATATCTATCTGGTTTTCGAAAGCTGTTACAGATCGCCTTTCGCCATCCTTTTGGATAGTGGATTCCAAATTACCCATAATTCGAAAGTAATATTTTTTTAAAGAAAAGCTGTCCATGTCTTTTTTTCTCCAATTATCTTAATCGTTTTGTCTGATGTGGGTTGTCCTACCACTGCTTACAGTTACTATTTGAATTACGGTATAAAACTCCACCTAACTTCCTCTACTCTAATGAAAACATTAATGATTCTATTTCGATCAATATCTTATGCACCTCGTCAAAATCATGGCCATCCTAAAGCATGTTATCAGAATTGTACCAACACTACAGTTGGATTCTAATCCCTGCTTTACTTAGTCTTAGAATAAATTCCTGGTCTTTATGGTTTGTGAATCTATTTAAGAAATCGCGAACATATGAACTTGTCCTGAGTTCACAAAATTGTGTACGCAATTCAGCCAGACTATGCTTTTCCTGTAGCAGATTTTGACTTACACCGCCACCTCAGTTTTCCTCTCAAATTGCATCAGATCATTAATATCTGCTGTAAATTTCACCATCGATATTATCAATTTTTCTGTTTGTCTTCCTTAGTTATACAACTATCCAATTTACCTTTTACCATATTGCCAAGTATTGCGTCCCTGACATATTCTACAATTGATTGAAATAAAACAATCACTTTTCCATGTATTTATTGGTCTCATAGGATCCGCGGTATCAGCAACCTGCAATAATTTAGGTGCAATTTCTGCAGACTGGATACAACTAGTCAGACCTTTCCAACTCATACATTTGTGTTTTATTTATTTCAGGATGTAGCTTTCCTGCAGAAAAGGTAAGAGACAATTTATGAAAAAATTCTGTACGTCTTGATAACATAACTCCGCAAGAAGGTCAAGTTAAAACGTCAACCATTGAACTCTTACAGGATTAATCACGACAGTCGTTTGTTGACAGGAAGAGATGCCTCTCTGACTTTCGAAAAATTCGGAGGCCCTTTGCAGTACACAACGTGGAGAGAAATGGCCGAAGCTATTAAACCCGGTAAAAAAAAAATCTTATGCATGTTTATTGCATATATATAATTCCAAATGAGAAAAGCACAAATTGGTTCCCAACTCAAAACAAATGGCCTGACTGTACGTTATATAGCCTTGGGAGTATCCTAATTTCATATTTTTCGTCTTCTGCATATCTCTTGAGGAAGAAACTGCCTGCAGTTTGTGTCCATTACCTAAAGGAATTGTATAACCAGAGGATTAGAGATCCGATGAGAGATCATACCTAAGGATTAGACGACAAACTACAAGGAGTCTGATCTCCCCAGTCTGTGGTTTGGGCATCATTCGTTTTGCCTAAGGGGGATACACATAAGAATTACTTCGATTTGCTTGTGCGAAGTCAGTGAGACAACCGCTTACTCCATGATTTTGGTCAGAATTCCTATGTATTTCCAGGTACATCGTTATTGATCTTCCCACAGGTTTGAAATATGGGAAGATGTTCGATAGTCCTTGAACTGAGGTGGGGGAGAACGGGAAATCTGACAAATCTTCCATCATCACAAATGTCAAGAATTTCTCGAAGGGTGGAAAGCAGGAAAATACGCAGAGATGGGATTATAAAACAGCGGCGTGGGCCCCAAAGAGGCGGGTGCAGTAGACCTAAACCAGACTGTTCCTTCTGCCGAAAGGAACTCTAATTAAAGATCATATGTGTAAGAAAAATATTCGCAAAAGCACAGAAGATATTATGAGGAGAAACTGCTCCAGACAGGGCTTGTATATCACCAAACACACATCTGTTTCTGTTCTGTCCCTCACCCTGTGCTTCCCCGCTCCGAACTTGTCCTCCTTCAGTCCTCTTGCCGATGCCACCATTCTTGCTGTTGTCTCCTCCGTCTTGCACTCCCTCTCTTCCTACACTGTCAATTCCTTGCCCGCACCCTTTCCTCCTCGGCTTCTCTCCACTCCATCCCTCTCTACTCCTCCTCCCCTTCTGCCTCTTCACTTCGAAGTTCTCCCTTTCCTATCTCTGTCTCGTCCCACTCTCAGTTGTCATGGCTTCCGCCTACACTCTACAGCACCAATCAACGCGATCTCAATCCTTGAAACCCCAGTCTCTGGATTCCTTCCCCTGGTTGTCTGTGCGCGTCCTCACTATCACCACAATCAAACTGAACGGAGCTTTCTCACCAGCGCCTATCGCCATTAGTTCTCCATTCCCTATTTCCGGACATATGGTCTGCTGCAAGTCGACGACTTATCATTAAACAACAGTATTCAATACCCAGGACATAAACATGCGATGGTCAAGATAGATGGGAAAAAAGTGCTTTACAAAGAAACTATTTGAATGAATCACAGCAACAAAATAATTACTTGATTTTGTTTTCTGAAATATCCCCAGCTCCAGCCTCTCTGACTCTGGATCCGAACACAGCGAATCCCTGGCTCATCCTGTCTGAGGACCGGACCAGTGTGAGACTCGGAGACAAACGGCAGAAGATTCCTGACTCCCCGGAGAGGTTTGATCACTGGCTCTGTATCCTGGGATCGGAGGGATTCACATCAGGGAGACATTACTGGGAGGTGGAAGTGGGGGGGAAGACCTGGTGGGGCATAGGAGTGGTCCGAGAGTCAGCCAATAGGAAAGGGAGAGTTGAGTTGAGACCGGATGCGGGCTATTGTTTTTTGTGGCTGGAACCCGACAGAGGCTATGTTGCTCTCACCACTCCCTCTGATACCCCTCTCAACCTGACTGGATGTCCACGGAAGATCGGAGTTTTCCTGGACTGTGAGCGCGGAAAGGTGTTATTTTACAATGCGGACAACATGTCCCATCTCTACACTTTCACCCATAATTTCACTGACAGGATCTTTCCCATCTTTAATCCTGGAAAGAATGACCGTGGGAAATTTTCCGCACCGCTGACTATCCGCGGGATTAAAGGACACTGACAGATCCAACCTATAATTTCACCCGGTCCCCCTGCCTCCTATCAGCTGCAAATTGATGGGGGTCGGCCCCGAAGATACGGAGGCTTGAACACACGCACCAGCAAGTTCAAGAACAGCGTCTTCCCTGTTGTTATTAACCCGATGAACGGACTCTCTAACTTCAAATAACGTGGATTTTGTGAATATCATTCTTGCATCGCGCAAATCCTGAGGAGTGAAACCTGTATGCCTCAGTCTGTCCTAGTTTTTCACCCTATGATCTGTACGTCCTTGCTTACAATGATCTGCCTGTACTGCTTGCGAACAAAGCGTTTCACTGTACTTTGGTACATTTGACAATAAACCAAATCAATCAGTCACAGGTGGAGAAAGAAGCCAGTTTAACATTCCCGGAATAAACCCTGTATCGGAACTGGGAACTGAATGATCAGCAAGGAGTTCTGTAGGGCTGGGGGAAAGAAGGAGGGGGAGAGAAGAAACAAATAGAACCTCAATTGTGGAGACAGACTAACAGCGTAGAATGAGTTGTGAGCTGCAGGAAGATCCCCGGGGATCCTCCTGCCTGTAATAATGCTCCACAGGCGGAAGGTTACTTCCCTTCAGCTCTGATGAAGAGTCACCTAGATTCGAAACATTAGCTTGCTCTCACTGCATGAATGATGTCAGACTCGCTGTGATCTCCAGCATTTGTTGTTTTCAGTGAAGGTCACTTCCCTTATGATGCCTAATGAACGTTCCTGGTATATCTCTACCTTGTTCCGCTGAAAGCGCTATTACATTCATTTGAAGGAAAGAAAAATGCATAAATAATTTTTAATGTCAGAAACATCCAATCCGTCCCAATGCTCTCACTTTCCGCGGATCCCTGCGAGTCTTTGAGCTTCAAGAGGACCCAGTTTACGTTCGAAAGCTACTGATAGATCTTCTTCTGCCACTCTTTACGAAGTTCAGATCCTAAAAGTTCACTGCTAAAAAATGAAAACCACTTCCCTGCTCTATGTCAATTACGTCAATGGCCTGTGTAAAAGAAAAATGTTTCTTTTTTCTTATTGATTGACAAAAAGTCGTTATAGTTTTGAACCTCTCTAATGTGTCTCAACCCAAGCTGCTCTGTTCAGACAAGAACAATCTGTGTCACAATAGTTGATGCTTATGGCCAGAGTCTCACATAGTGGAATTTTATTTCTTTTCGGCCAGCAAGTTTATTTTTCTCCGACTACCCAGTGACTGAGGAAAATGTTTTGGATGTTGTGCGCTGTCACTGTATCTTTAACGTGGAAGTATCTCTATCACATTGTCCTGCCAACAGCAAGTATTTGCGACTCTACACCACAAGTTGCACCTCGACCCCACCCGTTTAAAATTGTCCGATTTTGTTTATTGCCTCCACATTTTTTTTCTTATCAAAATGCATTATTTCACGCGATAGTAGTTTGCATTTGCTATGTGTTCTCCCCTTCTATCCGTCTGTCCTATTCTGGCTGGTGTCAATTACTAAACTTTTTATATCCTCCCATTTTATGTCATCTTCAAATTTTGCCAAATGCAACCATTTCTGACTGAGTGACAAAATAGGTGGGAGGGGATGAATGACCTGCTTTTAATCCTGTTTCACTCTCGAAAGCAGTTCTCAACAGGTAACGAGCTGCAGAAAGCAAACTGACTGCCATATTTTCAAACAAAAAAATGTTCACCATTTGCCAAGTTACCTGCCATAGAAAGAATAAGTCCCTTGGCTGATCCAATCCACTCTGAGACTTGGCATGTTAAGCCCCAATCAGATAGCTCCAGTTTTTATCTTACTAAAATGTTTTGACGCAGTCTGAAACAAATCCGCCTCGGAATTATTTTGAAGAAGTGTCATACTGGACTCGAAATGTTTGCTTTGTTTCTATCTCTCTCCAGAGATGCTACCAGACCTGCTGAGTTTCTCCAGCATTTGACATGTTTATTTTAAATTTTCAGCATTTGAGGTAGTTTGGTTTGAAATACAGTGACATAACACTGAGACACCACATGCCTGATACCGTCGTTAAAAGGAAACCACATGAGGTAGAAGGCAAGTTAAAAGAATACAAATATAACGAAGTTTGTGCTTTTAGGATAAGCTGTGCTTCAAAAGCAGTTTAACTTTCTTTAGCTTTGTCATTCATACTATGCAGAACACTAACTATTTTAATCTGTGTCTATTTCAGATGCCAATGTGGCTAGGATTTGTTGATTGTTTTCTGTCTGTGTAGCCACATACATCATTTTTGAGGTATTTTGAATCATGCTTTGATTTTGAATTGATTTGAACGACAAATATCCTGTTATCTCATACCCACGAGTAAAAAATGAAGTATTTTCTGAATTCACAGCATAGTACAAGAATGTTACATGGAAGTGTGAATATGTGACCTAAATTCATAGCTCAATTTAACGTTGCATACCTGGGAAAATCTTTGTAATCAATATTTTTAGTTTAAACATTATTTCAGTTTGACTTCATTGAAACACTAAAATTTGTAATGCTGAATTAGAAGCTTTGCTTTAAAAAACAATTTAACGTTGATTTTGTTACATTGAAACAAGATACGTTTTTGAAACCTGCAAGGCATTTAATTTGGGTGGGCTTGTGGAAATTTGTTTTCTTTGTTTATATTCAATATTTCACAGTCATGCTGAACAATAATATAATGAATTGCTTTTGAGAAGCACACACTATTTTGATTCCGTCATCTGTTGTGAATTGTATTAAGTCAACAAAATGCTGGCCCAAATTAACTTGGAATTAGTGAAGTTAACTAACATATTACATTATGATAATTCGAATTTCAAGTCACATTTCACATTTTTAAACCTACCAGTTTAACATCGTGGTATTCAAATTGTTAATGATTTTAAGCACACATTTTTACTTCTGTCATAGAAACGTCGTAATTGAACTGCAATAACTAACTGAAGAAGTCAACTTTTGTGACTTACAAAAGTTGCAAAAATACCAACCTTGCAATCTTTGGTCCCCTTTAAATTGGACTCCAGCGTTCAAAGGATGCCCTTGCAATAGTTTCTTAGATAGAAGCACTGCCTCTTGACAATCAATAATATTACCTACACTATTACCTATCAACATCCTGGTGGTTACTATCGGCCTGAAATTGAACTGGATCCAATACATAAGCACTATAATTCCAAGGCCAGGTCTAAAGTTGGGAATTCTGTATTGAATAACTCAACTCGTGACTTCTCAAAGCTTGTCCATCTACAAGGCATAAATCGGTAGTGTGCTGGAATAATCCTGACTTGCCTGGCTGAATGCAGCTCTAACAACACGCAAGAAGCTCAATATTGTTCTGTACAAAGCAGTCCAGTTGATTGACACAATGCTTTCAACAATCTCTCCCTCACCATTGCACAGTGGCAGCAGTGTGCACCATCTACAACATGAACTGCAGCAACTCAGCAATGTTCCTTTGACAACACCATCCAAACCCGTGATGTCTACCTCGAAGAACAGGGGCAGCAGATGGATGCGAACATCATCACTTCCATGTTTAGCTCTAAGCGATTCACCCTCCTAACATGAAGCTATATCACTCTTCCTTCACCTTTTCCATATTGAAACCCTGGCTGTCCGGTTCCAACAGTACTATAGATGGTCCTATACCGTATGAACTGCATCATTTCAAAAGACTGTTTACCACCAAATTCTCTTGATTATTATGCATAGACACTTATTCACCAGTGATGCGCACATATTAAGAATAGAGATAACCAGTGGACATGTTAAAAGTGGATATTACTTACAGTGTAGTCATCTGGTGAGACATGTAGAAGCACAAATTGAAAAAAATGCACAAAATTAATGCATCACAAGTCAATTACAGAATGGGCAATTTTGTAGATTCATAACCTTACACATAATCCGTTCAATCTGATCTCGAATGCTCAACTGTTCAACATGGAACCGTGTCTCATATGAGCATAATCTGTTATTGGAAGTGAACAATGGCACGAAATTGGTTCTAATACATTTTTGGAGAAATTCTGCATATATACTGTCCTGGTGAATTCTCCATGGCAACACCTTATATAATTAGTGCCCACTTGGAAGTAATCAGCACACTTAATCCCATGAAATAAAGAAAACTTTGTTCCCTTTGATAACGCAGTGTGGAACTGGAAGAATAGAGCAGGCCAGGCAGCATCAGAGGAGCAGGAAAGCTGATGTTTCAGGTCGGGACCCTTCTTCAGAAATGGGGGAGGGGGAAGGGAGCTCTGAAATAAATAGAGGAGGGGTATGGCTGGGGAACGTAGGTGGAATGGCGATAGGTAAGTGCAGGTAGGCAGTGGTGGGGATTGGTCAGTGAGGTGGGAGGAGCGGATAGGTGGAGGAGAAGATGGACAGGTCAAGGAGGCAGGGATGAGAGGGAGGATTGGTCATGGGATGAGGCCGGGGTGGGGAGATATTGAAAGTAGTAAAGTCCACATTGAGACCATTGGGTTGTAGGCTCCCAACAGAATATGAGGTGCTGCTCCTCCAGTTTCCTGGTGGTGTCGTTGTGACACTGGAGGAGGCCCAGGATGGATATGTCGTCCAGGGAGTGGGAGGGGGAGTTGAAGTGGTTCGCGACTGGGAGGTGTTGTCATTTGTCACGAGCCGAGTGCTGGTGCTCTACAAAGCAGTCTCTGAGCCTCTGCTTGGTCTCACTGTTGTAGAGGAGGCCACATCGGGAGCAACGGATGCAATAGACCACATTAGCGGATGTGCAGGTGAACATCTGTCTGATGTGGAAGGTTATTTCGGGTCCTTGGATGGAGGTGAGGGGGGGAGGTGTAGGGGCAGGTGTAACACTTCCTGCGGTTGCAAGGAAAGGTGCTGGGGTGGTGGGGTTAGTGGGGAGTGTGGAGCAGAGGAGGGAGTCGCAGGGAGAGTGGAAGGCAGATAGGGGCGGCGAGGGAAATATATACTTGGTTGTGGGTCGAGAACCCAATGGTCTCAATGTGGACTTTAGTTTCAAAATCTACCCATCCCTGGCCTCATCCCATGACCAACCCTATCTCTCATCCCCGCCTCCTTGACCTGTCCATCTCCTTTCCCACCTATCCGCTCCTCCCACCTCACTGACCTATCCCCACCACTGCCTACCTGCATTCACCTATCACCAGGACATTCCAGAAACCAGGAATAATCAGTATACTTTCAGGTTGGCATGCATTAAACAGCGAGATGCAAAAATAACCACTTCTTAGACTTCAGTTATTTCCAATCTATTTTACCAATTTGGGTGATGGAACTGAATGTAACACATTCATGTTTGCATGTGATACAAAGTGAGGTGGGAGGTGTAGGTAGCAGTTAGAGACTTGATTTGGATATCGACAAATTGAGTGCGTAGGAAAGAACATTGAATATAATATAAAATTCAGGGACAAAGTACGACATTTTCAATCGTGAGTCTGGGGTCTGTTTGTATTCAGAGAGTGAAGATGTGTGCATCAAGTTGCTATCAGCAAGCTACGTATTATATTATATAGCAAAATCATTGGAGAATGAGATTACAGACTTGCTACAATATCATATTACATTGCTGAGACCTCACCTATTGTAATGTAAGTAAATTTCTTGTCTCAGGTGGTATTGTTGATTTCTTGATGGAGTGAAACAAGGATTACTGGGCATCAGGAGGCTGAGGAAAGAATAAGTACAGCCGGCATATGCTCCCTGAGTTTAGAAGAATGACAGATGACAATAAGTTATAGAGTCATGGACGTTTACAGCACAGGAGGAGAATATTCAGCCTATTTGTAAGCGCTGGTCTACAAAGATCTGTACGCACGGATCACATTTTCCAGTTTTTTAGCCTAAGCTCTGGAAGCTGCAGTAAGGCAAGTGAATAACTGAATACTGCTTAAATGTTGCAAGACTTTCTGATTCAACTACCCTTTCACACGGTGAGATCCAGACTCCTACCATTCTAAGTAAAAAAAAACTCAAGTCTCATTTTAGATTTCTTTTACTTTAAATTCCTGCCCCTTGTTATTAACCCATCTACTAATGGGAAAAAAAAAATCTTGATATCAACCCAAAGTATTCCCCTCATAATCTCAAACAACTGCCGAACCTAAGAACATACGAACAGGAACAAGAGCAGGCCAGATGGTGCTTGGAGCTTGCTCCTGCCAGTCAATGAGATCATAGATGATCTGATTTTACCTTAACTGTATATTCCTGCATAGCCCCAGTCATCTTTCTTTGGTCATCAAGAATCTATTTTCTTCTACCTACAAATAAAAAAGTAATGGTTCCACATTCACTACCTTTTGAAAATGGGAATTTCTCACAATTCCTCACAACTCTTGGAGAGAAAAAAAAGCTTCTCTCAATTACGTCCCCTCGAAACCATCGATGTTTCAAGGAAAACAATTCCAGCCTTACCAATCTTTCCATAGAGCACAGACTATCCAGTTCAGGCATTATCCTAGTAAATCTCCTCTCCACACTTTCTAGTGTAATCATAATCTTCCTAAAAAGTGGTGATCAAAACTGTACTCAGAATGTCAGATGTGGTCTAAACTGTGTTTTATAAACTTCCAGATTAAGCGTGTTGCTCTTGGAATCAATGACTCAGCTAAAAAAGTATGCCTTCTTTTCCATATTATCTACACGTCCTTCCACCTTTAGGGTCCTGTCAATGCATTCTCATGCACTCTCTTTGGACTCTTAATTTGTTTTTAAAATTCCCTTCTGTACTTTATATACTAGGGACCCTATCGTGTTGACATCTTGGTATCTCTGACGATTCTTTTTGTCTTAATCCTAATCTTAATGTCCCTTGATATCCAGTTTTCTCTGGTCTTGATCTCAATCTTTGACTTTATTGAAACATATTTACCCTACATTCTTTCAATTTCCTCCCAAATAACTTCCACTACTCTCTCAGAGTTTTATCTGCAAGTAATTCCTCCCAGACCCCTAGGACCAAATTGTACCTCCTCTCAGTGTAATTAGCCTTTCCCCAATTTCGATATCCCATTCCAGCCCAATCTTATTCTTTTGCGGTAATATTCTAAGTCTGTGTGAGCTTTGGTCGCTATATCCATAATGATCCCCTGCTGACACGCATTCACCTGCTCGGTGCTGCTCCCACACAGGGTCTAGTGCTGACTCCGGTCCCGGGCAAGTGACCTGATTGAAGTTTCCAAAATCCTGAGTGGGTGAAAAAATGTAAGTACGGTAAAGCTGTTTCCATTTGTGACAGGAATAAAATGACAGGTGATAAATTTAAATTGATGTGCAAACAAAGCCTGCACTCCCTGACATTCGTCAGTGAACAAGTCCTGAAATGTGCTATCGATGAATTCCCAAGCATTGTGAATGCAACATAGTGACCCTAACTGCTGACCAAGCTCCAAAGCCCAGAGCTCAAGATGCTCCAGCAGGAGACACCTCCTGTGCACATGGTCAATAAAACTGTCAGGGGACTCTAGGATTTCCCACAATGCAGGATGTGCAAATCATGGTCCTGAACTTCAAGGCATATGTTAACTCAAAAGAATATGGAGCCTTGCTTTTATTCTACCCTTATTCTCACTAGATGACAAAAATCTCATTCTTGTCTATGTCCCGAGTCCCACTCAAGTCTGACACCTTTGTATCTGTTTACATGCCAAGTTTCTCTCCTTGCATTCTTCCCTCAGTGATGCTTACTGTCTGTCACAGGGCCCTAACCTAAATTCCATCTCTCAAGTTTAAACATAGGAAGGATGCAGCAGCAGAAGAAAAAAACAATTATCTTGTTTCCTTGCTATTCATTTTGTCATGACACTTGTCGAAGTTTGCATGCAACACTTCCATCAGCCACCTTTCCCACTCATTCTCAGCCCCGTCACTCCTCCTCCTCATACCTATCTTATCAGACAAAACCCTTCTCCTTCATGTATCTCCCTCTCGTTTTACCTCCTATATTCTACACCTCATCACAACCCCATTAAGCATCTCTCACCTGTGTTTTCCTCCTCCTCCATCAGCCAATTCTCAGCTCCTGGTCCTCATGAGCATCCCCCCCTCCTCTGCCTTACCCTAATTCCCTACTTCCTTCATTCTATTCCTCCATATGCATCCTCCTGCAATGGTTTGCCTCAACCATACCCCGCAAATGCTCACTGCTACTCAAAACCCAGCCCTGCTCGTAGTCAACTCCCCATTCTCCTTCCTCACTCTTTCCACCTCCTCCTCCTGTCCCTTCTCTCCTCCCCTTTCCCTCCTTCCTCCCCTTTCCTTCTTCCTCACTTCATCTCCTTCTCCCACTCTCTCCTTCTTCTTCCTCCTGCCTCTACATTGTCCTCCTCCTGGAATTTGCCTCTCCTCCCCCTCAATCTCCCTCATCCCCTTGTTCTCTGTTCCTCCTCTTCTCACACATTACTGTTTGTCCTTCTTCAACCGTGTAGGAGTTTTGACAGAAAATAAGGAGGAACTGTTTCTAGTGGCAGTGAATTCAGCAACAGAGGATTGAGATATACAGATCATCGAATCCCTACAGTGTGGAAGAAGGTCATTTGGCCCATTGAGTCCACACCGATCCTCCGAAGAGCATACCAGCAAGACCTTCCCTCCTAACCTATCCCCCTATACCTACATTTCCCATGGCTAATCCACCTAGCCTGCACATACCTAGACACTATGGGCAATTTAGCATGGCCAGTCCACTTAACCTGGACATCTTTGGATTGTGGAAGGAAACTGGAGCACCCAGAAGAAACCCACAGGCACAGGACAATGTGTAAACTCCACACAGATAGCCACTGGAGGCTGGAATCGAACCTGTGTTGGAGGAATAAACTGTCGTGAGAAGAAAAGGGTTTTCATGCAGGCAGTTCTGATCTGAAATGCACTGAGAGATATTGTAGTGAAAGCACATTGAATAGTAACTTTCAAATTGTTTTGGGTGAACCGTTCAAAGTCCAAAAAAAAACACACAGCGCTCTGAGGTTGGAAGGAATTGATTGGCATCCCAGTTGAATAGCCCTATGAAGGCATTTGTACAGATGTAGAGGATAAATTGACCTCCTGCAATAACTTCTGAAGTGACCATCTTCCAACCTAAGGTGCCAATTGCTGAAGTACCAGACCAGGCTACTTTCAGGCACATAACAGTCCACTTAAGAGTAAGAGTCTCTGAAAATAATCATGTCTTTGGAATGGGCTCCATTGATACAGATTTTGGTGTGATTTCCAAATAACATAAAAACACAACACGCTGTTTTCTGTCTTTTCAACCTAGTGGTGAGCTGAGTTGTCCTATTGTGAAAATCTACACTTGTTCCAATAGTTCAGAGTTGTTTTGTTGAAAAACCACCTTAATCAATGATCTAAATACAAATTACAGTTCTAGAGAAAAGACACAATATGAGCAAGTTACATGTCTACAGTTCTTCATTAATGTTTGCAAAAGACAGGTAATTAAGTAATTGTGATCTGATGGTTATATCACTGATTTAGATCGTAATAAAACAGACCAGAAAAGCAAAGATAAATGAATACAATGACTCCAAAAACTGCACAAATTTTCATTTTGTTTCACATTACCAGTCAATGGCATAAATTCTTGATTAGTGAACATATCACATTAAACAGAGAAACTTTCAAATTATTATCACAGCAGCCACTTACCATTTAGATGATTAAGACTCAAGGCAGATTTCTAATGTAATATAGAATAACATTCCATAAATACATAATTTCATTCCCCTCAAATTTGATTTGATTTGAGTGTAATATTCTGACTCATATGAACAGACGTGGGCAAACCAAGTCCAGTTTATCAGTGTTATTCATCATATAAGGATGTTATCTTATTACAGTTTGGTGAGAGTTTGAAGCCAAACTGAAAACGTTACTGAGATCATAAGACACAAACTTATGGTGGTTAATAAAGACAGAAAATGATGAAAATGCACAGTACTCTGAGCAGCATGAGAAAAACTATTGATGAATACCTGAGACCAAATTGAAGACAGACAGACAAACAACAAAGCAGAAGCTGATTTTCCACATCCCATTTCCAACACTGTCTCCCACCCCCGCCCACTCCAGCCCCCAAGAAAAGTCCATTCCAGCTGGAAGTGAATCCAAAACTCACTGCTGAAAATCATGACCACTGAAACACTATCACCATTAAGAAGGGCAAGAATTAGATTGAATTAGGGGTAGTTCCTGGGTTCCATAGTTCACAGCTTATTCTAACTCATAATTCTCTCTGTACTGCTGAACTTCTTTTTGTTTCTGTTCTCCCACTCCTTCTTTCCCCAGCCCTACATACCTTCTTGCTGATCTTTCAGTTCCCAGTTCCGATACAAGATTTATTCCCAGAATGTTAACCTGGCTTCTCTCTCCACCTGTGACCGAGACCGATCCCATCATTCATTTTACAGCTGTCAGGAGGCAGGGGGATGGGTTGCAATTATGGTTTTAGTCTATCAGTGTCCTCTAATCTTACAAATAGCCTGTGGTGCAAAGTTTTCTTCATTGTCATTCAGTCCCGGGCAGAAAATGGGAAATATCCTCTCTGTGAAAGCGTGGGTGAAAGTGTGGAGATGAGACATGCTATCCACATTGTAAAATGACACCTGTCCACCCTCATAGTGCAGGAAGACCCCAATATTCTGTGGTTTCATATACAGCGCGAGAGGCCTCAGTGAGTTGGATGAGCGAACAAAATAGTCACTTGAAGGAATTAGCCCAATAATCCAGTATGTAGACTCAGGTGCCAGGCCAATTCTGCCTTTCCTGTCAACCGACTCTTGAGCTACCCCTATAATCCACTGAGTCTTTTTCCCCACCCTTATCTCCCAGTAATGTCTCCCTGATGTGAATCCTTCCAATCCCAGGACACAGGGCCAGGGATCAAACCTCTCCGGGGAGTCAGGGAGTGGCTGCCGTTTGTCTCCGAGTCTCACACTGGTCCGGTGCTCAGACAGGAGAAGCCAGGGATATGCTGTGTTCGGATCCAGTGTCAGACAGACTGGAGCTGGGGAAAATTAAAACAGCAGAGTAAATGAGAGAAAGGGTGTATGAGTGTGAGAAAGTGAACAGAGAATACAAGAGGAAGAAGTGTGGGTGGAGGAAACACAAATGCAAGAGGCTGGGATTGTCAGAAAGCAGAGATGGAGAGTTGGAAAGAAGAAAAATGGATAGAATGTGGGTCCATGATGGTATTCATTCTTAACAGTGGGCAGATGCTCTCATATAAGCCTTACCCAATCTCACCTTGTAGATACCAGACACAAACTTCAATAACTGCAAAACTTTTGAATGGACAACTTTTGCAGAAGGATAACGTGTAACAGGGAGAGTGAGAATTCAACAGAATAGAAAGGAGTGGTTTGGGGTCGAATTGCCGGGGGAGGTGGTGGGGGGGGGGGGGGGGGGAGTGCGTTGCGGAGCGGGGATGGAGAACTGGTGAGGCATTTTGTTTAAAAAAAATGGGAGAAGTAAGAGGGAGTGGGAGATGAGAGATGAATAGGAGCGGAGAAAATAAGAGCAAATAGAGAGCTCAGGAGGAGGGGAGAGCAGAAGAATGGTATGATAAGATAGCAGAGTATTGGAGATGGAACTCAAAAGAGAGCATGCAAAAGGAAGTGAGTTGCATTGGAAATTAGAGAGCCTGGTAGTGGCACAGTGAGTGAATATACATATGAGGAAGAGGAATAGGTTATTGGGCTCTTCAGTCTACTTTGCCTTCGTCCCCTATAGCTAAACGCATGTAATAGTCACTGATTCCTGATCGTTACTCACTCTGTTGTCATTGTTAATATATGACCCAATAGCATTTCATCTTAGCCTGTAAAATAAACTTGCCATATGAAGTTGTCAAATTATCTTGTCAAATACCTTTTGGAAATCCAGTTATGCTGATATATTTACTGGGCTCCCTTTGTCCATTGTATTTGAACAATTCTCAAAGCTCTCCAATAAATTCATCAAAAACAATTTTAATTTCACAAAACCATGTTGACTCTGAATGATGGCTATGATTTTCTATATCACCTGACTTTGTTAAGAATAGATTTGAACACTCCTTCGAAAAAGAGTCATGCCAGACTTGAAATATTAGCTCTGTTACCCTGTCCACAGACGCTGCCAGACCTGTGGGACTTCTCCAGCATTTCCTGTTTGCTTCAATATTACTGAGACTTACTTTCAAATTCATCTTTTAACTGAAATAATTTAAACACCACTAGATGATATGGTGGGATTTGAATCCCTACCCATAGACCCTTGCCTTCTACAATATTAGTACAACAAAAGAATCAAAATGCGACCATCTGAATCTCAACTGCTTTGGGGGTCCCATTATTATGAATAAAGGAGTCATATTTATGATTGCTTAATGTGATGTGACTTTCCAGAATCTAGGAAACTTTGGAAAATTAAAATCAACACATCTATTGTTTCAGAAATCACTTATTTCAAGATGCTGTGTTGAAGTACATTAGGACTGGTAGGTTTCCAATGAGTTGTACAAGATTATGAGGAGCCTGGACAGGCTGAACAGAAGACAGCTGTTCTGCTCAGCTGAATGGTCAATAACAAGGGCACACTTTTAAGGTGAGAGGCTGAAGGTTCAGAGGGAACTTCAAAAAGTATTTTTTCAATCAGAGGGTGGTGGGTGACTGGAATGGACTGCCTTGGAGGGTAGCTGAGATAGGTAACCTCACAACCATTAAAAGTTATTTGGATGAGCACTTGAAATGTAAGTGCTGGAAGGTGGGGGTTAGTGTAGATTTCATATATTTTTGGCAGTGCAGACTCGATGGGCTGAAGGTCCATTTCTGTTGTGTGTGATTTTATGGTTCATTAGCTTTTAGTTTGTTTATTTTTCTGTATTTTAACACGTAATTATTAAAAATTTCCTCCCAACCTTTCACATCTTGATTCATAATTATTTCTGTGGTGGTATTTTTATGCACTATAGTAATGAAAAATGTAAATTATTTGTTAGATTCAAATATTGTTTGTTTATTAGAACCTGCATTTAGATACATGGTGGTTTTATATTATCATTTTACTAGTTTTGAAACCCATAAATTTATCTGCTGGGTTAAGTTAAGATATGCAAACTCTGTTCCTTCCTACAGAAGTTCCACAACTGGAAGGTTCTAGAACCAGGGGCCACAGTCTAAGAATTAGGGCCAAGAGATTCAGGAGAGATGTTAGAAAACACTTCTTCACGCAAAGAACAGCAGAGGTTTGGAATTCTTGTCCTTGAATGGCAGTCGATGCTAATTCTATTGTTCAATCTAAATCTGAGATAGACATTTTTTTTAATTAAGCAAGGGTACCAAAGGATCTGGGTCCATGTCAGGCATATGAAGTTAGAACACAGATCAGCCATGATCTTATCAAAGGGCTGAATGACCTACTCCTGTTACCATGTTTCCGTGTTCTATGGTAGTCAGATCATCATTTCTATTCTTGCTATCTTGCTCTCTTTCTTTCTCTTATCCATTTAAGTTACAACATTTTCTCAACTTGATACCTCATCGCTATTCTTAACGAAGGTGAATAATTCCAAATCGCAGACTTGCTTCCTTTTTTGGATGTTTTGCCTAATACAGATGCACCTTGCTATTAATGTAATTACAAAAATGTCAGTGAGAATGATAATACCATACGAACTTTAGAAGTTGGGGTAGAAATAGGCCATTCAGCCCATCGATTGTGCTTCAATATTCAATGAGGTCATGACTGATTCAATCTTCAACTGCAATTTCGTGCTTGTCCACATAAACCTTGTTTCCCTTACAGATCAAAAATCTGTCTATTTCAGATACAAATATATGTAACGACCCAACATCTACAGTTCTCCATCATAAATACTTCCACAAATTCACTACACAGGGAGAGAAGAAATTCTTCCTTATCTATGTTTTAAATTGATAACCTCTTAATCTGAGATTATGCCCTTTAGCCCTAGACTTTGCCACAATGGGAAACAACCTCTCAACATCTACTATGTTAAGTCCCTTAAGAATCTTATGTGTTTCAATAAGGCCACTTCTCATTAATCTAATGTCAATGAGTATAGGCCCAAACTACACCAACACTTCACATGAAATAATCATTCAATACTGAGTTCAGCATACAGAATGCTTTCTGTACTGTTTACACACCTTTCCTTAAATAAGGGGCTCAAAAGAGTTCACGGTACACCATCTGTGGTCTGAGTAACACATCATATAGCTTTATCTAGACCTCCCTGTATTTTTAGTCCATTTCCTTTGAAATAAAAGCATATATTCAATGTGTATTCCTGACTTAATGTGAGTCATGAATAAAAACTCCTAAATCTCTCTGTGCTATAGCTTTGTGCAATCATTCCACATTTAAATAACATTTGCTTCCTCTATTCCTCCTGCCAAAATGTGTAACTGCACATTTTTCCACCTTATCTTCCATCTGCCATTCAATCTATGTAAATCCCTCTGCAGACTTTTGAATCATCTTCACCACTTGCCTTCTCACCTACGTTTGTGACAGCCAAACACCAAGATATATTACATCCATTTTCCTCATCCAAGTTGTCAAAGTATATATTGTAAATAATTGTGGTTACAGCTCTGATCCCTGTGGCAATTCATTGGTTACAGTTTGCCATCCTGACAATGCCACCCTTATTCTAACTCTCTGCCTCCTATGAGTTGTCCACTCATCTATCAATATTAACATACTTCATCTAAAGGCACAGATTCATATTATTAAGTAGCCCAATGTCTTATATCTTATCAAACACTTCCTGAAAATTCACATATATTACATCCATGACTTTCCTTTTATCTATCCTGCTTGTTAACTTCTTGGAACTCCAGATTGAGCCAGTGCTGTCTTCTAGACAAATTAATACTCACATGCTTACATTTGCACTCTATTCCTCTTATTATACAGATACCTTCACTGGCTTGAAACACGGTGCAAATGACTTCAGCCACTTGCCTAGAGGTAGCCACAGCAACGTGCCATAAAGGAATGTGGTGGCTGCTGAAGATTAATAACTGGTATTATGACTATTAATGTAGGGTCTCAGAGCCTACTTACAACCAAATTCATGAACTATCACAACTAAAATAATAATCAGGAAAGTTATTGTCAGAGCTTTACCAGGGTTAATGTCATCAATCATTTCTCTCAATGTTGCATACTGCAGGGGGCCATTGAAGATCCCGATTGACAGCTGATCTCCATCAGATACTGAGAGTGGCTGATTCCCCTCATCAATCCTGTAAATATTAAACAGAGGATGTTATCTGTTTGAACATTTTAATGATCTAATTGAACTTTCAGCGATTTTCATCTTAGAGCTGTTTTGATAGAAAGTGAAAATGAAATTTGTTTCTATAACTATGCAAAATCTAACATAGAAATGCCAGGGAAGAGAATGAAAGCCTTATGTCATTAAGAAACCCCCACTTAGAGGCACCAGATTGATTATCAAGACAACACATACCACAGGAGATGCCAAAGATGTAACGTGTGCACTTTGCCTATTATAAGCAGAGCTTGAGGAGCATAGGCAAAAGACGTAAACATTTAAGAACCTAATGCCCAAAGGTATACTACGTACAACTCTCTTAAACACCTGCGCTCAGTTATTTCGAGCCTCTTGAATATCCCTGATTTTAGTCGGTCCCTATCGGTGGTTGGAAGTTCCATTGTCCAGTCTTCAACTTCTGAAATTCTCCCCTTAATCATTTCCGTTACTCTAAATCTATTTCCTCTTTTAAGATACGCCAAAACACCATCAATTAGCTGCATAAATAACTCTGTATTATACTTTAGTTACCAAGGCACAAAACGCGATAGGAAATGGTAAACGTTTAACCGATTACTATATCTATTATAAAGAAAGTTTATAGACCAAAGAGAACTTCTGAAAACATCCAATATCCTCATATCTAAGAAATTCCGGCGGTCGCAAGAATAAAACTGGAGAATCCTGAGATCCTCTTCTCTCGCCCTTGCTTACTCCTAATGTGAGTTGCTGCACTACGAATGGCAGTGCCCTCGCATGTTGAGGCATTGAATTTTTTTTTAAATCCCTCTCAAAACCTCTCAGTTTTTCTATTTCTCTTTGTTTTCTTAAGACGCTTCTTAAAACGACCTCCGTCATCATTACCATTATCTCTTTCTGCGGTTCTGCACAAATGTTTGCTTTCTCACGCTCCTGTGTAACTGTTTGCGTCGTTATAACGCGCCAAAGCCATTAGATAAACACAGAGGTTGCACAACCGTGCAAAAAAAAATCCTGTCTTTAAAGCGTGACTTTACCGAATCGGCCAAGACCCGTATAGGTGCATCGATGGTCATTCCCTGGGAATATGGGCAGTCTGAGTCAGTCGGAAGTGCACAGTATTACATACAGTCCACACGAAGCGGGATCAATTCAGGCCAGGGAACATTCGTATCTTTATTTTTACCTTCCACCTTGTCATCAAGCACAACAATCTACGACAGTTATATACAACCTGAGACGGTCTAAAATTGTTTATGAGAATACTGCTGTGAAGGTGCACGTGATTAATCAGCGGAGGAATTTCGACCGAAGGATGGCAAGTTAACACGGCGCGATAACCAGGGATTAAATACAGGACAGAGTTGTAGTAAAGAGCATCGTCTGCCTTGTCTTTCGACCAGCCTCCTCCTGAAAGAAATGAATTACAAATAGTGAGGATGACTGGAACAGATTTCAGGAGGAGACAGACAGGATGCTGAAATGAGCAGACGCAACAAAACGGAAGTGTAAAGTGAAGAACAAAAACAAAGTTGCTGGAAAAGCTCAGCAGGTCCGGCAGCATCTGCGAAGGAAAAAAAACGAGTTAACGTTTCGGGTCCGGTGACCCTTCCTCAGTGTAAAGTGATACATTTTGGAAGGAAGGTTGAGGACAGGGTAAAATAAACTGGAGCTGACCATCAGTCTGGCTCACAGACACACTCCCCAACTTTACCACATTGATCTGTAACTGGAACGAGAGTTCCGGGAGGAAATTAAAATTGGAAGAAGCAAAGGACAAAACAAGTCTCAAGATCGGGACAACTCATTCCGGAGTATTGCCAGCATTCCTGAAATTCTGTAAACACTGTGGCAATGGTTAGTTCAGTGACACAGCAGGGATAGGTAAAAATTCGGATTAATTCTGCTTGTGATTTTTTTTAGTAAATAACATTAATTTAATAGGTACTTTCAGATATATTGTTGCTGGTTAAGATTCACTGATCTGTCCCAAAAATATATTTTCTCACCTTCAGAAATGTCAGATCATCATTTTGCTCCATCTGTTTCTTCAAGTTCGAGAGTTTCTCCTCAATACAATTTAAATTCTCCTGAATTTCTTGAAGGTTTTTCTCCATTGGTTCGAGAATCCCCTTTTCTTCCCTCAGATCTCCGAGTGAACGCCGCTCTTTCTCAGTGAGAATCTGGTGCATTTTAGCAAACTCGGATGTGATGTGGGTCTGCAGACTGCTCGCCTGTTCCCACAGAATGAAACGTGAGACATCATTAATTTCCCGCGAGAAAGGAAACAAACTAATCAAGATCCCAGAAAATCAGCACAGGAAGGCTTTACCTTAACTTCGGAAATCTTCTGTTTCTGCTTCAATTCCGTTTCTAGAACCGCCGATTTCTTCTCTGTGAGAGAATTTAAGAAATATTTCAGCTGACCCTAGAATTGTGAGCGAAAAGACTCAGAGACAAAGTATCAGACCACAAAAATCTGTCGAAATGATCAGCTAATAAACCATGTTTTATATACCTTATAATTTTCATCAGCTTCTTTAATTGGCAGGAAGCGGTGATCTCTGTGTTCCCACGAATCTCTACAAATCAGACAGATCAATTTCTTGTCGGTTTCACAAAACAGCTTCAGTTCTTCCTGATGTTTCGCACAATGAAGTTGACTTTCTTTCTCTTTCGGATCCAGCTTTAATTTTCGAGACTCTTCGGCCAGATTCGCTAAGGCCCGATTTACCCTGAGGTTTATTTCTAGAAACTCCCCTCTACATTGCGGGCAGGACTTTTTCTTTTCCCAACACTGGATGCTGCAGGAGCGGCAGAAGTTACGTCCACACTCCAGTGTCACCGGATTGGTGAAGAATTCTAGACATATGGTGCAAATTACCTCTTCTGTCCAACTCCTGATTTGTTGTCTGGGAGCCATGTTTATTCTCAGCCCTTCCTGACCAAAACCGCTTTCAGTTTCGATGTCACTGCGGTGCTGCGTTGCCCTCCAGAAAATAATGAGAGATTGTGTCGATGAATTAGGCTGATGTTGTCCTCTATACCCTGTCCATCCCTAGTTGTGATCCGTTTCGAGATCGACAAGTTCAAAAAATGAAATTCCCAGTTAATATCCCCAAAGGATTATACAACCCAAGTATACGACATTTACTGAGCGGAAAAGCTCAAGGCAACATTGACAAAACAGTCTTTATATGAATAATATATGTTTTGAGAATAAAGAACAGACCTTCGCTGGGAACATAATAGTATTCAGTCCTGGGCCTCCATCCTCGGCTACCTCTGATGCTTTACTTCAATAGTATATTCACGCACTATCGCAATGATCCACGATGTTCTGAGTTCGAAATCTTTTGATCTCTATTAAATATGCTACATGACGGAGATTCCACAGCCCTTCGAGAATCCCAAGGATTTAATGTACCCTGAGCGAAGGTATTCCTCCTCATCTCTTCGCAACAACCTGACCGCTGACGCCCAGTTTGGGTTCGGTCAGGGCCACTCAGCTCTTGCCGTCATTACAGTCGTGGTTCAAACATGCACAAAAGAGCTGATTTCCTGAGGTAACAGTGACAGCCTTTGAAATAGAACCAACGTGGTACCAAGGAGAATGAGCAAAACTGAAATCAGTAAGACAATAACAGGACAAACTCAGCTGGTTGAAGTCATAGCTGGCACAAAGGAAGATGGTTGTGGTTATTGGAAGTCAATCATCTCATCTCCCGGACAGCACTGTAGGCGTTACTCAGGGAAGTGTCCTCCGTCAAATCAGCTTCAGCTTAGTCATAAATGATCTGCTTTCCGTCATAAGGTCAGAGTGGGGATTTTTGCCCATGACTGCACAATGTTCAGCACCATTTGAGACTTCTAAGATACTGAAGCAGTCCATGTTCAAATGCCACAAGATCTGGGCAATATCTAGGCTTGGGCAAGTAACTTTTGCACCACATAAATGCCTGGCAATGGTCATTTCCAATAAGAAAACATCTAACTATCATTCCATAACATTCAATGGTGTTACCATCACTGAATCACCCACTATTAACATCTGAGGGGTTACCATTAACCTGAAACTCAACTGGACTCAACTACAAGAACAGGTCTGCAGGCAAGTAACTCAACTGCTGACTCCCCAAAACCTATCCAACATCTACAAGGCACATTAGGATTGTGATGGAATAGTGGCTACTTGCCTAGATGAGTACAGTTCCAACAACACTCAAGAAGTTTGACACTATCCAAGAGAAAGCAGCCAACTTCAATGTCACCACATCCATAAGCATCCATTCCCTCTGCCAACGATGCTTAGTAGCAGCAGTGTACTATCTGCAACGTGCACTGAAAACTTTTACCAAAGATGCTTAGACAGTGCCCTCCAATAGCATGATCACTTCCACCTAATAGGGCAAAGGTATCAGAAACACAGCAACAATACAACTTATAAGTACTGCTGTAAGACACTCGCCATCCTGCACAGGGACTGCAATGGTTCTAAAGGACAGCTCATCACCACTTTCTCAAGGGCAATTAGTGACGGGTAACAAATATTGGCCAGCCAATGAAGCCCTTGCACCATAATTGAATAAATAAAAACAAAATTTACTCCTGAATGACCTTGTTCTAATTGTAAATATGACAAAATTCACATACCCAACACTCCCCACTGCGAGCGTTGGTTCCAATGGAGGCAAAATCAATAAAATTGTGGGTTGAAGTGTGGAGATGGGATATGTCACCACACTCTAAAATGACATCTGTCCATGATCATAGTCCTCTCAATCTTCTCTCCAAGGAGAACTGTCCCAACTTCTTAAATCTATCCTCATAACTGAAGTTTCTGGTTCCTGAGCCATTATTGTAAATTGTTTCTGCATTTGCTGCAATGGGGTGGCACAATGGTTAGACTGCTGCCTCACAGCACCAGGGACCTGGGATCAATTCCACTCTTGGGTGACAGTCAGTGTGGAGTTTGCGTGTTCTGCCCATGTTTGCATAGGTTTCCTCTGGGTACTCTGGTTTCCCCCCGCAATCCAAAAATATGTAGGTTAGGTAGTTTGGCCATGCTAAATTGCCTGTAATGTCCAGGGGTGTGTAAGTTTGGTGGATCAGCCATGGGAAATGCAGAGCTACAGGGAAGGGGTAGGGGGATAGGTCTGTGTGGGATGGTCTTTGGAGGGGTGGTGTGGACTAGTTGGGCTCATTGGCCTGTTTCCGTACTGTAGGGATTCCATGATATTCACATATTGTTGGATCTAAAGTGGCTTGCATATAGTTATGTTTTAAGTGCCTAATGGGTCATTTAAGATACGTTCAAAATGAATGTAAGAAGATTGGCACTTTGATATGTAGTAAATTGATTAGCTTAACCTACTTAAGACATATGCAAACTAATGAGTGAATGTATTAGCTTAAACTAGAGTCCTAGTCACAGAGTTATACAGCATGGAAACATCAATCATTGTTGTCAATCCATGCCAACCATGTTCCCAAAGTAAACTGGTCTCACCTGCCTGCACCTGCCCCATGCCCCTGCAAATCTTTTTTATTCATGTTGTTATCCAGTGTCTCTTAAATATTGTAACTGTACTTGCACCCTCGCTTTCTTTGGAAGTCCATTCCATAAATGAACCACTCTCTGTTTAAAGAAGTTTCCCTTCATGTCCTTTTTAAATATTTCTCCTCTCACCTTAAAAATATGCACCGTGATTTTGAATTCCCCCACCATAGAGAAAAAGAAAATGTTCTTCCACTCCATTCCCTTCCTGCTCCTGTTTTCATCCACTGTCCTTTTGCATGCTTTTCTCTTTTCCATTTCTGACCTCAGGCACCATTCCTCTTACACTTTGCAGCAATTCGCTCCCCTTTCCCTTTCACAACCCTCACATACATTCTCACTCTGAACACAGCCTGTCCTTCCCTCAACTTCTGTAACTCACAGACTGCTTAGTTTGATCTTTCCAACAAGCTCCAGTCTCTGGCTTTGGATCCAAATGCAGCTTATCAACAAGAATCTACCGACTAGAGAAAGTGCAAAACTTGACCGACTTTTGGGAAATAAGGCAGGGCAAGTGACTGAGGTGACAGTGGGAGAGCACTTTAGTGCCAGTGACTATAATTCTATTTGTTTTAAAATAGTGATGGAAAATGGGAAGCCTTCAAAAATGGGATCATGAGGGTTCAGAGACAATATGTTCCTGTTCGGGTGAAGGTCAAGGCTAGTAAGAGCAGGGGATGCCGGATGACTAGAGAAATTGAGGTTTTGGTCAAGAATAAGAAGGAAGCATATGTCAGGTATAGACAGCAGAGATCGAGAGAAAGGTGGTGAGGAAAAGCCAGGGAACTATAGACCGGTGAGCCTGACATTGATGTTAGAAGGAATCCTGAGGGATAGGATTTACATATATTTGGAAAAACAAGGACTGATTAGGATAATCAACATGCCTTTGTGCATGGAAATTGTACCTCAATAACTTGATTGAGTTTTTTGAAAAAATAATGAAGAGGATTGATGAGATCTTAAGGAGTTCAACAAGGTTCCTCATAGTAGACTGATTAGCAAGGTTAGATCACATGGAATACAGGGAGAACTAGCCATTTGGCTATAGAACTGGCTTGAAGGTAGAAGATAGAGGGTGGTGGTGGAGGGCTGCTTTTCAGACTGGACACCTATGGCCAGCAATGTGCCAGAATAACCAGTGCTGGGTCTACCACATTTTGTCATTTATATAAATGATTTGGATGTGAACATAGGAGGTATGGTCAGTACATTTGCAGATGACATCAAAATTGGAGGTGTTGTGGACAGCCAAGGTTATCTCAGAGTACAATGGGATCTTGACCAGATGGGCCAATGGGTTGAGGAGTGGCAGTTAGAGTTTAATTTAGATAAATGTGAGGTGCTACATTTTGAAAGGCAAATCAGGGCAGGACTTATATACAATGGTAAGGTCCTGGAGAGTGTTGCCGAATAAAAAGTCCTTGGGGTGTATATTCACATTTCAAGAGTCCCAGGTAGAGAGGTTAGTGAAGAAGGCGTTTGGTATGCTTGCATTTATTGGTCAGTGCATTGAGAATAGGAGTTGGAAAGTCCTGTTGCAGCTGTACAGGACATTGGTTTGGCCATTTTTGGAATACTGAGTGTAATTCTGGTGTCCCTGCTATAGGAAGGATGTTGTGAAACTTGAAAGGGTTCAGAAAATATTTACAAGAATGTTGCCATGGTTGGAGTGTTTGAGCAATAGGGAGAGGCTGAATAGGCAGGAGCTATTTTCCCTGGAGCATCGACGGCTGAGGGGTGATCTGATAGAGATTTATAGAATCATGAGGGGCATGGATAGGGTGAATAGTGAAGGTCTTTTCCAAGAGGTGGGTGAGTCCAAAACTAAAGGGCATAGGTTTAAGGTGAGAGGAGTAAGAATTAAAAGGGACCTAAGTGACAATATTATCATGCAGAGGATGGTGCATGTATGGAACGAGTGCCAGAGGAAATGGTGGAGGCTGGTAAAATAACAATATTTAAAAGACATCTGGATGGGTTTAGTGGGATATGAGACAAATGCTGGCAAATGGGACTAGATTTATTTAGTATACCTGGTTGGCATGGATGAGTTGGACTGACGGGTCTGTTTCTGAGCTGTACAACTTTATGATGTTACGACTCTAATTCATCCTGTCGGAGGACTGGACTAGTTTAACGGATGCAGATGAATGGGATCTGCTACCTGATTCCTTGGAGAGGTGTGATCCCTGTTGTTGTGCCCTGGATTCAGAGGGATTCACATCATGGAGACATGACTGGGATGTGAGGGTGAGAAACAAGTCTCAATGGGTGGTAGGAGTGGCCCAAGGGTCTGCTGAGAAGAAAGGAGAAATTGACCCAAAATCTGAAACAGGAAACAGTTATATTGCTAAGAAACACAAGTGATTATTTTGCTGCCACCACCCCTCACAGATGCCCTTCTCCCAAAGTTTGAATCCCTTGAAAATTTTCCTCGGGGGTTTCCTGGACTATGAGGGTGAACAGGTGTCAGTTTGCAATGTGATCAACATGTCCCATCTGTATACTTTCACCTACAATTAACTGTGGGAATCTTTCCATTGTTTGGTCCAGGATTGAATGATGATGGGTAAAAAGATTTAACAGCATCTTAGGTTTGTTTAGTACATCCTCATTAATGGTGTGAACCTTTGATCTTTTACTTATAAATTCTGTGTCTGATACCACCTCTCTCACTAACATCTGAACAAGAACTGAGGGTCTGAAAGCTTGCGTCTTTAAATAAACCTGTTGGACTGTAACCTGCTTTCGTGTGTTTTCTGACTTTTTAAAATCAGATTATTATTGCGTTCAGCGGGGATTCGCCGCAGCACCTGTCACACCTAGAATGAGGGTGGATACTAAATTGGCAAAGGGATTGGTCTGTTCACCTGTCACTCAGAAAAAGGGGCTTGCCACGGGCGCTTAGGAACGTGAATTGGTCATTTCTACAGTCACTCATTGTGGGGTTAGAGTGGTATTCCAAAAATGATTGGTTATTTTGCATGTCACCCAGCCCAAAGATGGCGGGAATCTGGAACCGGATTGGTCTGGTCCCCTGCCATTCACTACTAAGGAGCCGGGTTTCCAGAGATGCAAAAAGCAGGGGAGTACAGGGCAACACAGGAAGAAAAACAGAAGTTGCTGGAAAAGCTCAGCAGGTCTGGCAGCTCTTGAGGAAGGGTTACCTGGTCCGAAACGTTAACTCTGATTTTTTTCATGATAGGTGCTGCCAAACCTGCTGAGCTTTTCCAGCAACTTCTGTTTTTGTTCCTGATTTACAGCATCCACAGTTTTTTTTTCGGTTTTTACAAAGCAACACTGTGTGGAGCTGAAGGAACACAGCAGGTCGGGCAGCATCAGAGAGCAGGAAAGTCTGTGTTGTCTCTAACGCCAGCATCTGGAGTTCTTGGTATCTCCAAGGGAGTACAAATTGAACATTAAGCACTGCCTATTGGTCACCTGCGCAGACTTATCATCTGAAACCACTCACACCAGTTGTATGATCTTTTGATCTCTCCACCCTTGATCTTTCTGCCTACAAACTGTGGGTCTGTGTGCTCTGCTCTCTCGTTGCATCTCATGAAGGGTTTGCGCTCGGAAAGTTGTCATTTCAAACAAATCTGCTGGACTATAACCTGGTGTCGCATGACTTCTCACTTTGTCCACCCCAATCCAACATCAGCACCATCTCATCAAAGCACCTGAGAAGTACAGAGGATCGGGGTGGTTGGGGTGCGTTTGTCCATAGATCATTAAGTGCAGCAGGAGAGGTTGATAAGATGATTGAGAAGGCATATGGAATGCTTCCATTTATTAGTGAAGACATTGATACAAGAACATGAATGTTATGATGGAGCTGCACATAAGGTTGTTTGGGCTGCTCCTGGGCTACTGTGTAAAGTACAGTCATACAGCATAGAAACATATCCTATGCCGACCATGGTCCCAAACTAAACTAATCCCACTTGTCTGTATTGGGCCCATATCCCTCCCAACCTCTACTATTTGTGTACTTCTTCAATGTCTTTTAAATGTTGCAACTGTACCTGCATTCACCAATTCCTCTGTCACTTCATACCACACACAATCACTCTCTGTGTAAAAAGAGTTGCCCCCATGTCCTTTTTAAGTCTTTCTCTCACCTTAAAAAGTCTCTCACCTTAAAAATATGCCCACTTGTTTTAATCTACCCTATCCAAGGAAAAGGACCTTTGCTATTCACCTTATCAATGCCCCTCATGATTTTATAAATCTCCTATGCTCCAGTGAAAAATGTCCCAACCTATCTTTATAACTCAAACTCTCCATTCCCGGCAATGTCCT